AGCTGGGTGGGGTCACACATGTCTGTAATCCCAGCACTCAGGAGGTTGAGGCAGGAGAATTATTGTGAATTTGAGCTGGTCTGGGTTGCATAGTGAGTTCAAATCCAGCCTGAACTGCATAGTGAGACCCTGTCTCACCTCCCTCTAATGAAACACCACAGTGACGTATTAGGTATGTGGTAGCACTGAAGGAAGGCTAATCAGTTTTATTACAGCTGAAAGTGGGAGGGGGGAATTTGAGAACCACAGAATGACATAGGAACAGGAATGATATCAGGTTTTGGGGTATCAGAGGGTGTTTGAACTGACTTATTCCCAAGTGCAGTGTTTACTTTGTGTAGAACAAGAAAGCTAATAACAAAGGAGTGAGTCATTGTATGAAACTGAATTTATTCAAGCTAAAGATTTAGATGTATTCTGAATCTGTGGGGAAAGGACTGTGATTGCTAAAGAACTGATTACCGATGGTCGGCTTATGATCCCCAGCCGTGCTGAGTGCACGTGGTGCCGGGTGCGGGAGGCTCCCCCTAGGATGGTTGCCATCAGCTGAGAGGCAGAAATGGAAAGGGATAGTGAATTACTCTTGTTGGTCTGAGTTGCGTTCTGGGTTCTAATAAAAGGCGACTGAGATGGGTGATCGAGGCTGCTGCAGTCCCAGATGCTGTGGGCCCCCTGATCCCAGACTTTGGCCTCTTCTGTTTTTCTTATCGTTTACCTTTTCTTATTCATCCGCGGGCACCTTCTTCCCGGGACCTGTCACTACAGATAATACCAACATATGGCGCCAGGAACAGGGACTTGAGTACGAAAGGAAGTCTGTGAGACTAGAGCATGAAAATAACTCTTTGAGACTAAGATATGAAAGTAAGTCTTTGAGACTAGGAAAGGGAATTAAGGAAATTAAGTCAGTGTTCGACGGACCGGAGGAGAATTGGCGGGCAGTTAAGCCTCGGTCTCCGGGATTGTTCATCAGGGTTATGGGAAATATTCTGTTTCGGAAAAAATACAAAACATAACAGATTTTACAGGAGATAGAAAATGAGGAAACTCTATCATTTCAGGAACAGGGACCAATTGCAGAAGAGGAAGGAAGGTATGGATCTTTTAGATCCAATACTAAGTATAAGAAGGGGAAACTGGATTTTCCCCTGCCTCCTTCTTTGGTCTTTTAAGCATATTTTTTGGCCTCTCAGGCGTATCTGGCACAACACTCAGCCCCTACATATGATAAGTTTAATCCTTTTGGGACCCACCTCAGTGATCTCTTTGCCACCGCTAGAGGTAGTGCAGCATTAGATATGCCCTCTCCTTGGAGAATGTTATGTTATCTCCCACTTTAGGAATTCAAAAGATTAGAACCGGGATTTATGGGCCTGTATGTGAGGAATCAGTTGGTTTGATTGTGGGAAGAAGTAGTTTGACTTCAAAAGTACATATAGGAGTATTGGACTCTAACTTTAAAGATGAGATTCGGGTTATAATGCAAGCTTTACAGCCATGTCAGGTTGAAGCAGGAGAGCATATAGCCCAATTGTTGCTTCTTCCATATGTGGAAGTTCGTGCCGCTCCCATGGAGCGTGTGGGGGGTTTTGGAAGTACCTATTTTTTGGAAAGATATTCATACTGGAAAATGGGAAAGAAGTGTTGTTCAAATTTGGGGGAGAGGATTTGCTTGTGTCATTACAGATTGAGGAGATAAAGTGTGGTTACCTGCTAGGAGAATTAAACCTCAACATGAGCCACAAAAGAGTCAGACTCAAGCTGAGTCCGCCGATGAAAAAAATGGGATTGATGCCACTGCAGCACGAGCCTTGGATAATAATCAGGAACATTCAGAAAGCACAACCCCCAATTTAGGCACAACTTAAGAAAGTAACCCATCATGTCAAGAGCTGGCTGCATTTCAGTGGAAAATATTTATGGCTGGTAATATATTTTTGGACATGTTGGCTGTCATAGCCACTATAATAGGCATTGACTTTGTAGAATCAGGCATGTATGCCTGTACTAATTTATGTTATTGAATTTAGGTAGCTTCCTGGTCCTCAAGATACACGGGGATCATTTATAATAACAGATAGTCAAATTATAAATTTTAAAAATTGTAATAGAATGACTACAGTATGATTTGGTAAAAGGTCTGTTTGGGTGCACTCTGATTTTGTGTAAATGTTTGTGTGTTCTGTGTATTTGTGACATGTTTGTGTGCCATTTTGTGAACAACTGTTCTTTATTTTTGAGCTCAACAAAATTTTTTCATGATACAATTGGGGTGCAAATGTAAAAGCCTGCTTTCTCCTAAGTTACCATCTGGTCTAAATGAAGATATTTAAATAAAGATATTTAACTATAATCCCTGAGCAGAAAAATTGTTGGTTAGGACTCCTATTGGTGAATAGAGGGGTGGTTAACCTTTGTTCATTAATAAGGAGCCTCCAATGATCTCCAGAGTCTCTTGGGAGATACCCCATTAATTTGGTAATGGTTAAAAGTGTTCCAGAAAAAATAAAAAATAAGGTGTTTTCATGGAAGATGTTCTTAGTACAGAACTAAAGTAAGAAGCAAAGGTTTTCATATATGTATGTAATTTAGTATTATTAATTTCATAGTGTATTGAAATGTATTCATGAGTCCAGATGTATAGTTCTTCAAAAGGTAAAGCAAAGATTGCTTATGATGAGACTTTTGTTCAAATTCAGACCTTTGCCTTTAAAAAACTTGAGTGTATTTCGTTAGAGGATAACAGATTGGAGAAAAGCTTATGTATTAGAGATGATTGGTTGAGAGGGTTAGATTATGTCAAAATGAAATTTTAAGTATGTTATGAAATGTCATGACTGTCATGCAGCAATGTTATATATGGATTTGGTTTCTGATTTCAATGTATAAATATGTAATTATTATCTGTTAACATCCTAGAGGGATTTAAATGATAGGATGTTAGTGGTTGTTAAGAAAACAACAGTTTCATTTTATGTTCTAAGTTGTCTGATATTCAGATAGATAGTAGTGTTAAGCTTTACTGCCTCTGTTATTTTAGATCAGTAGTAAGGTTAATGTCATATAAGGTTTTGATTGTTAAATTTCTGGGTGGATATATGTAATTGTTGTTTGTTAATATGCTATTAAGATTTGAATATTGGAATATCCATGGTTGTTAAAAAATTATGGTTCCATTTATACATTCCAGGGTGTTTGCTATTTAGATTATATTATAATGTTAAGCTTGTTGCCTTCGTTTGGATGTTATATCATTAATCTTCTCTGCTGGATGTTTAACCACTGAGAGCTGGAGACTCAATATCAGAAGGATAGTTTGGGCTAAAAACACAGATAATATTTTGGCTATGGTCTCTGAGGTCAGTACAGACTCAGGACATAAGAGAATCTCTACTATGACATCCTATAACTCAGTCGAGTCCCTGATTTTCTGATCAAGGAGATTATAGGACCACAGAGGAAAGTGATTCTACGATGGATAGTGTGCCTAAGGAGAGTCACTGAGAGAAAAAATCTCTCAGGCTTTCAGGGAAAGTACCTTGGTCAAGTAATGGCTGTGACTCATCTGGACAGCTGACACTGGCAGAAGATCAAGAGATGTGGCATTTGGTTCCAAGAAGATTCCTGAGGAGACCTCGCTGACCCTGATAGTAAAAGGTTAAAACTTTTATTTATATAAATCTCACTCTAACTCAGTCTTAGACATCCAGCAGAAAAATGTGATCTTAAGATATAAATTGAAGGCTAGTCATTGTTATGGACTCTGAATTATGTTCTCATTTTTGCAAACATCCATTGTCATTTCTTGTGACATTATCATTGTACTTTGCCTCATTCCCTTGGTCTACCGAGGTTCATCCAGGAAATGCTGAGAAATGGAAGATGGTTGGCAACCTTCTTGCTGATGCTTCAAAGCATTGCGTTAAAACAAAAAGGGGGACATGTGGGGAAAGGACTGTGATTGCTAGTGAACGGATTACTGATGGTCGGCTTATGATCCCCAGCCATACTGAGTGCACGTGGAGTGCAGTGTGGGAGGCTCGCCCAAGGATGGTTACCATCAGCTGAGAGGCAGAAATGGAAAGGGATAATGCATTTCTCCTGTGGATCTGAGTTACACTCTCAATGACCTTTCCAATAAAAGGCGATTGAGATGGGTGATCGAGGCTGCTGCAGTCCCAGAGGCTGTGGTCCCCCTGATCCTAAACTTTTGCCTCATCTCTTTTTCTTATCCTTTACCTTTTCTTATTCATCCATGGGCATCTCGTTATTGGGACTTGTCACTACAGATAATACCAACATGAATGTATATTCAATTTTTTTGTTTGTTTTTCAGCAGAGCAGAAAGCCAGAGTGCAACAGTGCAAGACAGCCACCTGTATCTTTATGATATAATTCTTATACAGGCTGTTATCTCATATTTACATTCTTGTATAGTGCCATAACCAGTGCATGAATGTTTACCTGTGTTAAGTCATGATTACACAACTGTATCTAACTGTGAACCTGTGCTAGACAAGCTGGGCCACTTCGTCAAGTGTCCTTAGATGCCCCTGAGCTTTGAAGCAGTCTGAGTGGCTCCCACATCCCACCCTTTCAAAGGTCCGGGGTGTTTAAATGTGACATTCTATATGTGACAGGGCACAAGTACCTGTAGTTAACAAATCAAGATCTATTTTGTTGTTAAAACTACCTTTTGCTATGGAATGATGAGGATAGTGAATATATGTACATTTTTAAAAAGTTTTTACAGGAAAGACAGGCAAAAACAAACAATCACTCAGAAACCAACATGAACTTTTATTAGTCTGCTCATCTTTTTTATGTTTATTTTTTAGACCATAAGTCCATGAAATCCACAAATCAAGAAACAGTACTAGTAAAAGAGCTTTGGACTCTGGCCTTTGTAGTCTGCTAATTCTGTTAATCATTAGTAAATTTAAAACTTCCCCTTTAAATATCAGAAGCTTCACCACCACTGGGTATTGTGCCAAGGGAGGGTGAGAGGGGAAGCCTGGGCAACGCCTCTCTGGGATTTCTCCATAAAGGACCAGGCCTGGCCCTTCTGTCAGGAGTCTCTAGTGGAAGTGTGCAGATTCCGTTCAGCTGGAAATTTTCAGCTATGGGCTTGGTGAGGAGAAAAAAGGGCTGGTATCTGTGATCATTGGGAAAGATTAATTTCAGTGCAGGTTTGCTTTAGGTCCGAGAGATGTGAAGAGTTTAAAAAAAAGACAGAGGCTTTTGCATCTTTGTTGGACTAGGTAAGGGTGGGGCCATGGGAATAGAGAAGATGGTCAGGATGTTCATTTTGCTTTTCTTTAGATGGCAATAATCAGGATCAGTATCCTGTTGATTCTCATGGTGGCCACTGGGGGATGCAGCACAGGTGAGTTTCCTCCCAGGAGCCCTGTCCTCCCTCTTACCAGTTGTGTTGGGAGAAAACAAGTAGGCTGAGTTACTACCAGGATTTTGGTCACTTCTAGGACAGAGACAATGTCTTTGAGATGTGCAGAGGCACACTGGATGCAGGGTGACTGCAGATTTCTGGCCTCTTGAGGGGTTTGTTGTGTACCAGGGAGGGTGTTCCTAGGGCCTGTCCTGGTTCCATGTTGTGTAACTTGGTGTGGCTCCCAGGCGACTCTGGCAAGAACTGTGTATCCTATGGCCTTAGCCTTAGGGCTTGTATTGCAATTGCAGGGTTTTGCTTTCTGCCCAGGGAATGTTCTATTCCAGGCTCTACAACAACAAAATGGCATTTCACAATGTGTATTTCTCTTTGTTGTTATTTTTAAAAACATTTTTTTAAATATAATTTCATCTGCTCTCCACAGAAATATTTATTAGGTCCATTTTAAGCATGAGGAAACTGAGGCCTTAGGTGCCCAGGGCAGGGCCTAGCACCAGCATCAGGTCATGTGGGGAGGCACATGTTAAGTCTGCCCTGGATGCCCGGCCAGATGGGCTGAATGGAGAAGGCACTGGATGTCTCAGGCCTTTCAACCCAGGAAGTGGGGCCCTGGTTCGGTGGGGAAATGAGTGTGAGGTTAGTGATGGAGGCTGGGTTTTGTGTCAAAGCAGCCGTGAGAACAAAACTCTGCATTTTGTCTAGCTGTGGCCAATACTTCTACCGAGAAAGAGATCTGTTCTCAGTCTCCATCTCTGCCCCGAAGCTGTGTGGAAATCAAAGAGAGGTGTTCTGGTGCCCATGGTGAGTGAGTGGTGAGTCTTATAAATAGAACTCAGCCAGGTATTCAGACTTGGTCCTCTCAGAGGTTTGTTTGCTTTTATTAATATTGTAAAATATTATTCTTTTGAATAAAGTTTTCTGTTTTAACCGGGTTTCATTTTGTGTACATTTCAGTGGCATAAATTATGTTCACAATGTTATGTATTCATCACATTATACATCTCTAGGAATTTCTTACCTCAGGTACAAACTCTGTGGCCGTTAAGCAATGAAGCTCTTTTGGGTACTGGGCTGAAATGGACAATGAACCCTCAGACAGGTTGGTGTTCTCTACAGATGGCCTATATTTCCTTCAAACCAAGAAGGGTGTCATCTACCAGACCTTCTGTGACATGACCACTGTGGGTGGTGGCTGGACCCTGGTGGCCAGTGTGCACGAGAACAACATGTATGGGAAGTGCACGCTGGGCGATCGCTGGTCCAGTCAGCAGGGCAACAGAGTTGACTACCCCGAGGGTGATGGCAACTGGGCCAACTACAACACGTTTGGGTCTGCAGAGGCGGCTACAAGTGATGACTACAAGGTTAGTGCCCCTTGCCACCACTGTGGGAAGGGCGGGTGTTGGGTGTCGCTGGGCTACAAGCAGGCAGGAGAGGGGGTTGAAAGGTGGCTGTGGTGCTAGGGTAGAGTAGTTGGACAAAACATATGCCTTGAAACCCTCCTTCATCTCATCATGGCCTTGAGCGATCTGGGTGGTGATGTTAAAAGGAGTCTAGGTGCAGCTGGCCATCTCCCATTTGAAACCCTAAGCTGTCAGCTTAGCCAATGGGAAGAGAACACTGTGTGTATGCTTTGTGCTTTGTGGAATCTCCTGGGCTGTTCAGGCTCAGTGTCGGCTACTTTTCAGAACCCTGGCTACTATGACATCCAGGCCCAGAACCTGGGCATCTGGCATGTGCCCAACAACAGCCCCATGGAGAACTGGAGGAATAGTTCCCTGCTGAGATACCGCACCCAAACTGGTTTCTTCCAGCGTGTGGGACATAATCTGTTTGGCCTCTACCAGGTACACAGGGCTGCTGGCTGTGCTGATTTCTGTGGGTCTAGAGAGTAGCAGGTGCTTGAGGTTGTGCTGAAGAATCTCTCTTCCATGTTCCCCACACATTAGCTTACAGATGGCTTCTGTCCTGCTTCTCTCAGAAACCTTGACCAGGAAGCGAAGAGACTTATTTGAAGTAAGATTTGGGGCAGGAAGACAGAGATTGAGAGAGAGAGTTTCAGGAGAGGAGGATGGAGCGGGGGATATATAGATAGATGGGGAGAGAGAGAGAGAGAGAGAGAGAGATTGATTGATTGATTGATTGATTGATTTGCAGTTTCCTGAGCTTTTGGAGAAACAGAGCCAAAGAGAAGGATTCTAATATTCACTGGTTTGGAAGAAGTCTCTGTCATTGAGAAAAGACTCTTTCCCCCTTTTTGAATGGCAGCATCCCTGTGAGAACAGACCTAATGTCCCCCTTCACTGACTTCTTTGTTTCTTGTAGAAATACCCTGTGAAATATGGAGCAGGAAAGTGTTGGACTGACAATGGGCCTGCGATACCTGTGGTCTATGACTTTGGTGATGCCCAGAAGACGGCAGCCTATTACTCCCCCAATGGCCGCAGTGAGTCTTCACTGCTTCTCCAAAGTCTTTGTAGGAAAGATGATAAATTCAGTTCCAACATGTAGCAGTTATCTATCTCTTACTGCAGCCTGGTTTCACCTATGAATGTTAAGTGTATTGACTTATTTAATCTGTACAGCTCCCTTTGAGGCCTAAACTAATGTTAACTCCATGGTGGAGGTTAGGAAATAGACACCAAGGGGTTTATGACCCAGTTTATTGCACAGGCAGTAGAGTTGGCATTTGGACTGGGAAAATTTGGTTCTGCATTTTACTCCTAGCAAAGCCATTACCACCCTATCAGCAAGTTGTTGGAAGCAGGCCAGATTCATGTGCACAGGGCAGAACAACAATCATGGGACAATTTTGTTATTGGGAAAGATAACTATTCATTTGTTCAATGCGAATCTAAGTTTGACAGCATATCTTTCGTAGAGGCTCAGCCTGTGCTGTAAAATTACAAGTTACTTTTACATATAGTTAGAGATTTAAGGCTTTATAAGAGAACTAAAAAAGTGTAAAGGAGGCTGTGGATGTGCCTCTGGTGTAGAGAACTTGCTTTGTATGTACGAGGCCCTGGGTTTCTTCCCCAGAACAACTCCTCCAAAAAAGGAAAAAAATTTAAAAATAAGAGAAAAGAAAAGTGTGAAGGGAGTCAGAGTGAATGCACCTGTCAGTTGCTTCAACAAGCCCTGATAATGTGTAGTAGTGATCTTTCTGCAGTGCTGGATTGCTCCATACAAATCTCTGGCAGACCAGGAGCCCTGCTTTGGTGCCAGCTCTTGGTCTCTGTGATTATCGAAAGGTCTCTCTTGATTATTGTTGGTCCATTGGCCACGGTGGTACTGAGCTCCACTTGCACAGCTAAAGTATTGGGCTGGAGCCTCAGCCTGAGATAGATAGGCTTTGTGATGACCCAAAGGATGCTAGCTCTAGTGTCTTCCCTGAAAGGTGTTTTCTGCCTCTTGTTTTCAGATGAATTCACTGCAGGATTTGTCCAGTTCAGAGTATTTAATAATGAGAGAGCAGCCCATGCCTTATGTCCTGGAGTAAAAGTCACTGGATGTAACAATGAGCATGTGAGTCTTTGTGTATATCAAAGGGGCCTGTGAGGAAGGCTGATTTTATCAGTGTGTGTGTGTGTGTGTGTGTGTATGTGTGGTATGACTGGCATGTCTGTATGTATGTGAGACTGTGATATTCATCCTTGCCCCTTCCTAAATCTCTGGGACTTGTGTTGAGGTACAGACAGATTATATTATTGAGGACCAAAATCAGTGTTGAGACTTTGAACGCACATTGCTATATGTTCAGCCTTTGGGATAAAACACTCAGTTGCTCAGAGCTAGAGTGGTTTAGAAACTAGGCCTTGTCATTTTCTACTTGAGGTTTAGCTTTAGTAGTAAAACTTGGCCTTCCTGGATCTGTGAAGGGCTACATAGATGAAGGGTCCTGGACATCATCTTGTGGCTATCTTTGGTCACCTTCTGGCCAAAGAAATTATCTGTTCAGAGTCATCAGTGTTTCAGAGAGGGAGCAGCAAGCTGTTTCACAGTTGGGTGCATGAGATGTATGTGAGTTAGAGGTGGAAGCTGATGCTGGAAATAACAACAGCTGCATCAGGAAGAGACTTTTACATCACACTTGTGATTTAGACTTTATGTTCTAGGTGATGGGAGCCATTAAACCATTTTAAAGGGTAGACTGACTTGATGATCATCTTGTGTTTTATAAAGATTATGCTGGTAGCATAGAGATGGAAGATTTTACTGGGGAGATATTAAGGACAATGAGACCAGTACTGAGATAGTTTCAATTGTCCAAATGAAGATCTTAAGGAGTTTATCAAGAGTCCAGCCAGGGGCTCTGAGAATGAATGCTCAGGCAAGTAGGTGAAAACAGTGATGTCAAAACGGTTAAAGGAAGGGGAGTTTTCATGTGTGTAATCGATGAATATCACCAATGGAAATTTTCAAGAGAAGTAAGACTCCACTGGCTTTGGCCATTAGCATGTCTTCCTGCTCATGAGCAGACCTCTCATTACTGTCTCCTCCACTCCTAGCACTGCATTGGTGGAGGAGGATTCTTCCCAGAAGGCAGTCCTTTACAGTGTGGAGATTTTTCCTCCTTTGATTGGAATGGATATGGAACTCATACTGGTTGGAGTAGCAGCCGGGAGATAACTGAAGCAGCTGTGCTTCTGTTCTATCGCTGACACCTTTGTGCTATGGGACTTAGGTCTCTATTCTCAACTATGGGATCCCAGTGATGGACAGCATCTTACCTAGTAACTGGATTGCTAATGCCACAGGAAAGAAGAATAAATCATACTCATTCAAGGCTTAATGTGTTTATAAATTCATACATGCAGGGGATAAAACACAGAAGGAACTTTCAAAAGAATATTTATTGCTGTGATTGATGCTGCTTTAGCAACTTTAGTGCTTGAAATATTGGGGCTTAGGAATCCTGATAGAGGGATCCTCCAGCCCCTTTCAGGTAGCCCCTTAATGTAGCCAGAGGAATAAGGGCAGGGAGGAGCCACGTTACCCTATTCCTTCCCAACTAATTTATATGGACGGATCAGTTTGCATTCTCAACCTGAATATCCTAAAGGAGAAAAGAGTCTATTATATCTGGTACATTCTAGCTTTGGTGCCTGCGGTATTCTCTTTAGGGAAGAATGGGCCCAGCAGGCTGATGATGATGGTGACTCTTCTTGGGTAGCTAACCTTGCTGGGCTTGAATCTTCAAGGGCTTGTTCAACAGGAGCTAGGTGGCCAACTCATCCTCATGGCATTGTCCGCTATGCAGATGACGTCAGTCTTGACCCGTGATTAAATATTAGGCAGTGCATTGTGTTTTCCTATAGAATGCAGACATGACCATGACAGGCCCTTCCAATTCTCTCCTCTCCCAAGTGTCAATTACTTCTCACTGACTAGGAAATGAAGTTCAAATTTCTTATGGCTTTCAGAAATTGGGACAAGAGGTTGCAGGAGCAGGGTAAAAAGGGGACCCATGTTGTTTTAGTCACTTTCTCAATGCTGGGACCAAATACCTGGCACCACACCTTAAAGGAGGAGAGGTTTATTTTGGCTCACAGTTTAGTCTACAGTCAGCTGGCTCCAAGTCAGACATGACATGGTGGAAAGGCCTGGGTGGAGGAAAGCTGCTCATCTCATAGCAGACAGGAAGAAAGAGAGGAGGGAGAAACTCAGGAGGGAGATAGACTCTTCCAGTTCACACTCCCAGTGAACTGCTGGTTCTGGCCAGACCCGGCCGCCTAACATCAAGTCAGCTATGGTACCCCCATGATCCAAGCACCTCCAAAATCTCCAATTCTGAACACAAAACAACTTTTGAGGTGGGCAATTTAAATCTAAATTGTAACAAAGGGCAAGGGAAAGAAGTTTCCTTGAAAAATGTGTGGGAAGGTTATCTTATTTAACCTAGATTTATTTGGTCCAGGTTTAGAAATTTTTAGTATTATTTCCACAGTTTTCTTTTTCACTCCTTAATAACTTTTTCTTTGTTACCTGTTCTTCCACAGTTCTTTCTACCCTGTCCCCATTTTCTATCCTAACACACAGATATCTCTGTTCCTTATTACTCTCAGCTGTCCTCCTTCCAACTAGGGAATGTAACAGAAATCCTAAATGAGTTTTTAACTCTGGTTGGTGTTCTCCTGTATGTGACTCACTTCCTCTGTGCCAGACGCTGCTAGCCTGTAGTGCATAGACCAGCAAAGGGAAAGACACTTTTATTTTTCATGTGTGTCTTTATGCATCATTCAAAAAAATACTTATTGAGTATGCTCTAGTTTCTGGGCTAAGTGATAGAGAAGACAGATGAACATAACCAATTCCAAAGCTGCAGATGGTGGAGCCCACAGTGTACCACTCAGATTGCAGTGGCAAACAGGCATCACCCAGGAAGTGGGGGCATATTTATTTATGTCATTAGCTCTGACAGGGATTCATTCCCAAAGTATCAGGTCCTGATTTCTGGTAGTCTAGGGCTTATATGGGGTTTGCAAATACAGAAGCAGAGTATTTGGTGGTTATTGATTGGCTACATCTTAGCTCATTATCACTGATTTGCTTAAAAGAAAACTACATCATATATGTTGCACACTAAGACAAGTTCAAACTCTGGGCAAACTCACAGGAAGCACAGGTTCAGGGTGGGGACAAGCTCAGAGTTGCAGGAAACAAGTGCTTGAGATAACATATGAGTTCAGGGTATGGTTGGTTAGATAAGGGAAATATGTAGCTGGCATTGGTGGAAAACAGGAAGATAAATCTGCTAGCTGCTCAGAAATTTAACTCTAAAAAGTTAGCCTTCTATTTTCCTCTTCAACATCAGGGACCTGAATCTGAGTGCTCTTAGGACCGTGTGAGTGAGCAGTGTCTGAGAGTTGCACGATCAATTAGGAGACTAAATGTGAGCATGAAAAAAAACCTCAAAAATTGGACCAGAAGCTGTGTGAGCAAGCAATGTCTGGGAATGGTAAGACCCTGGGAAGGGAGAAGCCAGATCAATGCAGACATAGTTACTCACCCATTCTTTCCAAGTACACCAGGAGTGCTGTGCTCGCAGGATACACTCATGCCATCTATGCTGGCCCACAGGTGCCCACAGGGGAGCCCCCAACACCCCTGCCAGGGACTGCTAAAGGGAAGGAGGCCTGGGACTTCACTGAGTTTGTGGGTTAGAGAATGAAGCTCTGAGGAGAGTAACTGTAAAAGAACAACAGGTGGAAGGTCGGAGAGGTCAGAGGACATCCAGCAATGCACTAGGCCGAAGGCTAGTGGAGGGAAACCTAGAGGAGACTGTAGGATTTGCCCTTCAGGGAAAGAAGTAGGAGTGAGAAGGCTCTGGTTGGAAGTCAGTGGAGGGCTGGGTGCTGGACCAATCACACTGCACCTTCCATCCCAAAATTAACTGATATGGTTGTGTCTAGGGACAGAGACAAAGGCTTGCAGTTGGCCACACCCATAGAACTGCTTGCCATAGGATGCTGGCTCAGAGAGACATCTGATTGGTAATGCTCCCTGCTCATAGGCAAGCAATCAGGCAGCACACAGCTACCTAACATATTAACAGCTTCTGACAATCTCAAAGCTTCCTTCAGTCTTTAATTCCACTTCCCTTCCTCTTCACCTCTCCTTCCACTCCCACAGGTATTTTCTAAAACCTTCTCAAGCTAGCCTTTTACTCCAGATATAAAAATAATTCCAACAGAGTAGACCTCATGTATATTTTTCACCTATGGATTTTTCTGTATTTTCTCTCCCTTCCTTCCTACTGAATTAACCCCTTCTTCCTTTTTACTTACCACTCCCTTTACATCCTTATCTGTCAGTAGCAGTATGGCCCTGTCCACATGCAACATTGATAAAAGGGTAAAACTGCTAAAACAAGTGTTAATGTATATGGTTGATGTTTGATTGGCTCTGTTGATGTTGTTATAACTAGTAGGAATTCTTTCCTTGCAACACAGTACCATTAAACTGAGTAAGCTGAAGAGGTAGATGAGGCTAAGACACAGATAAAGCCAAAATCACATCACTGGAAAGCAGACACTAGCTAAGGAGATCTTCATACCAGTGACAGTCTTCCCATTCTGGTTGATCCTCAGTCCTCAGAGTGTGCATGCATGGGTGCACGCATGTGCACATGCGTGCGTGTGCGCGCACACACACACACACACACACACACACACACAAAGCATGAGAAAATAAGGCTACAAAATGTCTCCAAAATTTTCCAGGCAGATCAAAGGGGCACTGGTGGGAAGAAAAATCAAATACCAAATGGCTGAATTATGTGAAATAATAAAAGAAGAAACCAACAAGCTTAGTAAGCTAAAAGATGGTATAACTAGATAACGGAATTAATAAACAAATTGATTAGTAAGCTTAAAAATATTCAAATGAAAGATTACCAGAGCTAAGGAAAATTATTCAAAGTATGAATGATCAACTTAGCAAAGAATTAGAGCTCATGAAAAGTTGCCAAATAAAAATCTAAGAGATAATTCTATGGAAAGTGTGAGCAGTTAAACAAATGGAAATATGAAGGAATCAACGACTGCACAATAATGCAATGACAGGCATAAGTGAAAAACTATCAGTGTAAATGATTTGACCTTTCCAATTGAAAGACACATATTGGCAGATTGGATAAAAAAAAATCTAAAACCAGTGGTAGCCTGTATATAAGACACACATTTAATCAAGAAATTCATAGACTTAAAATCAAATGATGGAAAAATATGTCATGCAATATGAGCCTGAAAACAAATAAGAATAGCTATCATATTTTCAGAAAAAATGGAATTCAAGCCAAAACTGATCAGAAAAGTCAAAGAATGTCACTATATATTGATTGTGGGACAAATTTAAAAGGAAGAGATAAACATTGTAAATATGATGCACCAAACACCAATAGATCAACTTTCACAAATAGATCAACTATACAAAAATCAGTAGGGAAATATCAGAATTGAACTACATTTTCAAACAAATGAACTTATTAGATATTGACATATTATTCAACCCAACAACAGCAGAATACAAGTTCTTTTCAGCAAGACATGAAAGTTTCTCCAGAAGAGACCACTCAGTAGTTCATAAAACATGTTTACATTTATATAAAAGAATTAAATTATCCTATGTGTATTATTTGATCTTAGTGCACTGAAACTAGAAATCAAAGTCAAAAGAACCTGCAGAAAATTTGCAAACATCTGAATATTAAAATAAACATTCTTGAATAATCAATAGGTCACAGAAGAAGTCAAAGAAAAAATTAAAGCATCTTAGAATCAAATGATAATGCCAGTACAGCATACTAGAATCTATGGGACAGGTGCAAACAATCCTTAGAGGGACGTTTATTGCTGTGAATTCCCACATTAGAAAGGTAGGGCAGCCAAGTAAATAACTTAATGGCATACCTCAAGGGCCTAGAAAAAGAAAAACCATCCAAATCCAAAGCTCATACAAGGAAGGAACTTGTAAATATTGGAGTGGAAATTAATGAAATTGAGACTAAAAAAATAGAAAAATTCAGTGAATTGAAGAGCTGATTCTTCAAAAGAATAAATAAAATAGAAAAATGCTTAGCCAATCTTACCAAAATAAAGACCCAAATCCATACAATTAGAATGAAAAAGGTGAAATCACAACAGATTTTGCTAAAATTCAGAAGATTATTGATAACTACTTTGAGAACCTGTACTCTAATACAATGGAAAATTCAGAAGAAAGGGATAGGTTCCTAGATACAAATCAGCTATCAAAAATGAATCAAAATGATATAAAAATCCTGAATAATCCAATATCAGTCAATGGAATTGAAGAAGTAGTAAAAAAAAAACCTTACCAACTAAGAAAAGCCCAGATCTGAATAGATTTAGAGAAGAGCTTACACAAATATTACTTAAACAGTTTAATGAAATTGAAAGGAAAGGAATACTCCCAAAGTCATCTCTGAAGAAAGAATTAAGCTGACACAACACAAAACCAGAGAAGAATCCAATGTAGAAAAGAGAATTACAGGTCAATCACTTTCATGAACATAGGTGCAAAAATCCTCAATAAGATACTGGTAAACAGAATGCAGCAACTCATCAAAAATATTATACACCATGACCAGTAGAATTCATTCCAAGGATGCAGAGATGGATCAACATATGCATACCAATAAATGTAATACACCACTTAAACAGAAGCAATGACAAAAGCAACGTATCATCTGAACAGAAGCAGACAATACATTTGACAAAATGCAACATCAATTAATAATAAAAACCCTGCACAAAACGGGAATAAAAGATGTTTATCTCAATCTGATAAAAGTCGTCTATGAGAAAACAGTGGTCAACATCATACTAAATAGAGAGAAGCTGAAAGTTTTCTGTCTATAATTAGGAACAAGATAAGGATGCTTACTATTACCAGTCCTGTTCAATATAAGTCTGGAAACATTAGCCAGAGCAATCAGACAAGAGAAAGAAACAGATGAGATTTAGATAGAAAAAAGAGAATTTAGATTATTATGACTTGCTAATATGATCTTTTACATATAAGACACGAAGAACTCCACCAAATGATTCCTAGAGTAGATAAGCAAATTCAGTAGTGAAACAGGATACAAAGTCAGCATTCAAAAATCAATACTGTTGCTGTACACCAATAGCAAACTCACTAAGAGAGAATTCAGGGAAACAATCAAGGAATGGAAATCCTCAGGAATTAACCTGTCCAAGGAGGTGAAAGATCTCTACAATGAAAACTGTAGTACTTTGAAAAAGGAGATTGAAGAGAATATCAGAAAATGGAAAGATATCTCCTGTTTCTGATAGGCAGAATCAATATAGTAAAAACAGTCATACTTCTAAAGTGGTTATACAGATTTAATGCAGTTTGGATCAGAATACCAAAAGTACTCCTCACAGAACTAAAAAAAAAATCCTAAAATTCATATGGAACCAGAAGAGACCTAGAAGAGCAAAAGCAATTCTGGGCAACAAGGACAAGGCAGGGGGCATCATAATTCCAGACTTCAAGTCATACTATAAAACTATAGTGATAAAAACAGTATGGTATTGGCAAGACAAAACAAAACACCAAACAAACTCCATATAGACTTGTGGAACAATGGAACACAGAAAGGATATAGAAACAACTCCACGCACACTCAGATACCTATCTTTGACAAAGGGCCAAATAGTTTCACTGGGGGAAAGACAGTCTCTTTAACAAATTGAGAAGGAAAAACTGGCTATCCACATGCCAAAGGTTGAACCTAGACCCATATCTTTCATCATGCACTAAACTAAAATCAAAGTAGATCAAAGATCTAAATGTTAAATAGAAACACTTACCCTGCTGGAAGATAAAATAGGGAAAACTCTTGAAGATATGGGTGTAGGCAAAGACCTCATGAACAAGATCCTAGCCCCACAAGAAATAATATCAGGAATCAACAAAAGGGATCACATCAAATTAAAAACCTTCTGCACAGCAAAGGAAGCCACCAGTAGAGTAAAGAGACAATCTATAGAATGGGAAAAAATGTGTGCCCACTACTCCTCAGACAGCGGACTAATATCTAGACTATATAATGAAGTAAAAACTATTAGACCCTCCTAATTTAAAGACCCAACTCCAAAATGGGCATCTGAAATGAATAGATACTTCTCAGATGAAGAGGTACATATGGCCAATAAATGCATGAGAAAATGTTCAACATTGCTGGCCATTTGACAAATGCAAATTAAAACAACCCTGAGATTCCATCTCATTCCAGAAAGAGTAGATATCTCCAAGAAATCAACCAATAACAAATGCTGTGGAGAGAAAGGAACTCTTCTTCCCTGTTGGTGGGAATGTAGACTGACACAACCACTATGGAAATCAGTATGGAGATTCTTTGAAAAACTAAAAGTAGAAATTCCAGTTGACCCAGCTATTCCTCTTCTAGGTATCTTCCTGCAAGAGTTAAAGTCATCACTCTACAGAGATATGTGCATACTCGTGTTTATAGCAGCACAATTTATAATAGCTAAATCTTAGAAACAGCCTATATGCCCATGATCAGATGAAAAAAGAAAATGTGGTATTTTTATACAATAGCATCCTACTCTACCATAATGAAGGATAAATTTGAATTATTTTTAGGTAAGTACATGCACGTTGAGATCATAACATTAAGGAAAATAAACCAGCCACACAAGTTTTAATATCACTTTGTTTTTCTTATATGAGAATCCCAAAGTATAAATAAGGAGTAAAATAAAAGATAGCTATTAGGTAGTAGAGAGAGATATTTTCAGAGGAGAAGATGAACAAGAGGTGGAGGGAAGGGGAAAGGAAGGAAAGGAAAAGGATTAAAAAACAGTTGAAGAAAAAAATGGAAATAGAGTTTTTGCAAATGGAGAGGGGAAGAGGAGTTGGAAGGGGGAAAGGTACAAAAAAAAAAAAAACCAAACAAACAATTAAGAGGTGTTATGCACTCCCCACAATAAATGTAATCATTATGTACTGCAAATATGTACTACAAAAGATAAATAAATAAATGAATAAATAAAGAGGTGGTTTAAATAAAATAAAAGTAGAAAGAAGACTATTAGAGAAGAGGAAGTAGTTGAGGAGAGGAAGAAGGAAGGAGAAGGTTTGGTTAGGAAGAGCAGTAGGGGAAGGATGAGATCAAATATGCTATATGCATGCATGAAAATGTCTCAGACACAGTACTATGTATAGTTAATATATATTAATACAAATAATGTATAAGCAACTATGAAGAATCAGGCCCTGGGTCAGGCACTAGAAGCACTAAGCTAAGGGGAGCATATATTTTATATTGAAGATATGAAGGCTGGACAAGGCTGAGTTTAGAAAAAAATAACAGTTATGTGGTAAAGCTTGTTAAGAACCACAAGATGGACAGATAGATAGGAAGTGGTACAGTTGTCAGTTCAGTTCCCAGGGGATGGGTAGGTCATCTACATGCTTGGAGAAGAGGCTGGAGTTGGTGTTGAAGTCAGGATTGGTGAAGCAGATTCATGTTGTTCATTAATTGATTTTCAACATTTGGACCTTTGGAACATGTAATTCATGTTGTTCATTAATTGTTTTTCAACATTTGGACCTTTGGAAGTCCTCCATCTGTCTTATGAGGAAATTTACCCATGTTATATTATGTCTTGAGCATCACTTCTCAAAGTCAAGGGAATTATCAGATCAACTGTGGAAAATCCCAAAAGTTAAAATCTGCCCCATAGGAGGAGATAAAGTAGAAAAGAGATGGTAACCATTAGATTAACTGGATGAAGCTATGGGGGTCTGTGTGAAACAAACAAAACCTTACCTTGGTCTGTTTGGGCTGCTCTAACAAAATAACATACATAACAATATAAATTTATTTCTCGTAGATCTGAAGTCTGGGAGGTCCAAGATCAAGATGGTAGCATGGTTGAGTCCTGGTGTGGCCTCTCTTAGATGCAGACTGCTGACTTTTTGCTGTGCCTTCCCATGGCAGAAGAGGTGAGCAAGCAAGCTCCCTGAGACTTTTTTTTTTTTTTTAATAAAGGGCATTAGTTCCATTCAAAAGAGCTCTACTCTTATGACCTAAGTATCCCCTCAAAGACCCTACTTCTCAGTACTTTAATACTATCACATTGGTGCTTAGATTTCAAGATAAGAATGTTAGGGGTACACAGACTTTTAGACGACTGTGCCAATTTTATAGGTATAATCTCAGGAATAGTCATTAATTTGGTACTGATAACTATCTCACCAATAAGGGGAACCAATACTGTTGATTCTGAAGATTCGTAAAGTAACTTGCCCAGCATTGCACAAGTTGTAAGTTGCTGAACTAAAGCTCAAATTCAAATCTTTGACTTCATATTTAGGGGTCTGTTCAGAACACCTCTGATGCTGGCACTGACAGCCAAGTTTCTCTGTCTGCTTCATTCATACCCAGCTTCAGACCAGGTGGCTGACACTGGATCAAAAGGGGGCAAAGCATAAGTGTGGACTTAGAAGGAATTTAAGGTATGTATTGTTCACGAGAAAACAGAAGTAAAAGGAACAAACCCTGCGGTATGGCCTTGATGTAAAGGATTCTGGGACAGGTCGGATGCCACTGACTCCATCTGTCCAAAGAAGGCCAAAGAGGTCCTAGGCCACCTGGTCTTTCTGGAAGGTGGAATCCAAGTGTGAATGGGGGCTGGCAGAAAAAAAATGAGTTCATTTTCTTTCTGGGAGATGGCAAGAGAAGGGAGAACTATTACAAGCAGTAGAAAAGTCAAAGGAAGGAAGTATAAAAGTACTGATAGGAACTTGGAACAAAAGCAAACCATTATAGAAAAAATATAAGTTGCAAGCAATTGAACTTTGGTATGAACTTGTGTAGACTCCTCAGGCCTTATAGATTTTTTCCAGCACCCCTAAACCATAGGTCTCTTTCTACATCTCCCCACTTACTCCTTTTCTCCTTCAACGTTAGCACTCATTTTTCCAGGATTCTGCTTCTCAACTCACATCTGCCCCAAACCCTCTCTGCTCCACTTCGTAAGGTCTGTTGGATGGAGACAGTCTGGGATAACGGTTGTTGGGTATCCAGGCAGGTATTTTCATGGTGCCCATAGGATAGAGGGCATTGGAATTTTTATTATGCATCTGCCCTTTGAATGTAGCAGCTGGGCTGTGGTAGAGCAAGGCAAAGGATTTTAAAGTGGGCTTGGTGAGTCACTGTGAACTCTAAGCACTCACCCTCTTGAGGCAAACTTCACTAGCTTAGTGTGTGGGAACTCTCTGGCCAAGTTCAGGGACTGTGGCTTTCTCAGTGGCCTTGTCAGCTCAAGGCAGAAGTGAACAGCCATGAATTGAGGAAACTGTGGCTGGACAGGCAGTGCGATAGTTCTGCTCCCTATCACTGTCCTGCCAGATTTGCAACTGCCGAGCCCATGCACAGCTGAAAGTCTAACAGGGGGAGAGGTCCACCTGACCCCTCTATCGTATGACAATGTTGTGGCAAGCTGTCACCCTCACACTCCTTCTGCTCCTCAAGGGATATCAGGGCCAAGGTAAGGAGCCCAGCCTGGTGTGGGGTGGGAGCTGGCATGGATTTGGGAATGTATCCTTTTGAGAGATCAGAATCCCGAGCCTCTGTGCTACTGACACTGTCCCTAAGAACTTAGTGAGCCAGAGGTGAGATGAAGGGGAGGTGGTTTGGGTCGTGCAGGTCATGTAGGCTATTGTAAAATGCATGGCTTTTCCTCTGAGTGAAATGAGACGCTCTTTGAAGATTTCTGCAAAACCTGAGAGTGATACGTGCCTTGGGTTTTGCAGTCACCATTTTCCCTCCCTGTCTCCTGCTTCCTTGCTCCTTCACGATCTCATTTTGCTCAACCTTCTCAGTGATGCCCCCCGCCGACTGAAAATGTCAACTTGCCAAGCAGAAATCCCTTGTTTCCTGCACTGCTTATTTTTTTTCTCCATAACACTCATCACCATTTTACATATGATATCTTTTACTTATTTTCTGTCTCTCTCAATCTCCTCTTCAGCCTATAAGAATGTAAAATCCTTGAGACCAAAGTTTTTGTCTGCTTTGTACACAGTTGTATCCTCAGCATCTAGAAGGAAATCTGGTACAAGCAGACCTTCAATGAATATTTCTTTCCTCCGTAACATCCTCCTTTTTTTTTTTTTTTTTTTTTTTTTTTAGTTTTTCTCTGGTACCGGGAACCAAACTCCCAACCTTGCGCTTGCCAGGCAGGCGCTTTGCCGCTGAGCTAAATCCCCAGCCCCAACATCCTCCTTTCTATTCCCACGCCCTCCTCGAGTGTGTTTTGAGCAGCTTTGTCCCAGGTACTGTGTTAGGCATTGAGGATTCTGCGGAGGATAAGTGCACAGCCCCTTTGTTCATGGAGCCTACACTACATCATCTGAGGGGAAATGAAATCATATGATTAGTGCACAGCACTATGCCTAAGATGGTAGGTGACCAAACCACGGTATTAAGAGAATAAATGAATTATTTTCAGGCATCTTAGAGGAAGACTGGGATGACCTTCAAACTACAGCCCACAGGTTGAGACTTAGACCCTAAAGTTCATTTTGAGTCCTACCTGTAGGATTTGGTTATCCATTCTGAGGAAACCCCAGAGGACAAGGACTTTGGGCTTGGGGTGAGATATGTTGGACAAAAGTAGAGCAGGGGCAGTCAGCTGTCGGGGTTGCCAGCTACTTACCTAGATTGTGTAAACTTTCACTTCTCAGGGAGTGGTTTCCTATTGCGACTGCTCTGGCTGAGGTCCCACTTGATTCTAGGAAGTTGAAATCATTTTTAGTCATTTCTTTCTCAGTGTTACTGTTCTGAGCGTGCATGGTGAAATAGCTGGGCAGGGGGGAAAGACAGCGGCAGAACCATTCTGAAGGGAATTCGGCTGCATAGAAATCACTCTAGGGATAGCCTGACCATTGCCTTTTTAAATGAACCCTTTTTATTAAAGTGTGACACAGTCCAGAAAAATGCACAAAATTATAAATATACATCTCAGTGACCTATTGCTCAATGAAAATACTATATCTTCTCTTTTTTTTTTTTTTTTTTTCCGGTACCGGGAACCGAACTCATGACCTTGTGCTTATCAGGCCGGCGCTTTGCCACTAAGCTAAATCCCCAACCCCAAAATACTCTCTCTTCCTTCCCATTTGTTACCTGCTTCCTCTTCCACAAAGATAATCATTCATTTTTTGAATACAGTATCATATATTTTTTTGTTGTTTGACATTTATACTGATGAAAGTCTTTATCATAAATAATGTGATAATATTATTTCTAATTGTTACCAAAACTAGATTATTAAATGCTTTTTCATCTTTTATAGCTGTCTTTTTTGACTGTTAACATCATAGGTTAGCTTTTTGTGGACATAAATGGAATCATATGTAGGGTCTGACTCCTTGTGATCAATATCTTCCGAAGTTTATGTATGTTATTACTTATAACTGGTCAGGGCTGTGCAGTATTTTACTGTGCAACTATACCATAGTTCATTTATTCATTCTAGTATTGATGAACATTTGGGTTGTTAAAAAAATTATTTGTGATTATAATAATGCTGCTGGGAGGCTTTTGTACAGGTTTGTCTGTTCGGTATATTTCCTGGGAAGATGCACGGAGAATTTGTATATGACGGTAGCTGATGCTGTCAAACCATTTCCCAAAGTTGTTGAATCAAGCAGTGCATAGGAGTTCCATGTTACTTTAGGGCCACTGGATTTGTGTTTGAGGGTCTGCAAATGGGAAATGAAGTTGCAGGATTGTAGAGCCCATAAGAAGGGAGGCCAAAGCTGAAGGGAACACATCTCCATGGCTTCTTTGGTATTTTGCATGAAATTTCTACATTAGAATCACTTCTGGGACTTAAATAAAAGGAATTCCTGCATAAATTATTCAAATAGATTCATTAAACTTTTTAGTAGGTTCTAAGAACTAGCTTTTGTAGAGAAACTGAGATGAAGGAGGTGGTGATTCTATCTGTAAGTATCCTTCAGCTGGGGGTGAAAGTGCATGCCTGCAATCCCAGCACTCTGTGAAGCTAAGGCAGGAGGATTGCAAGTTTGAGCCTGACCTGGGCATTTAGCAATTTAGGGAGACCCTGTCTTGAAAGATAAAAAGGGCTGGAGATAGATAATTCAATCCTTATTTCCTCCTCTCCCACTAAAAACAATCTTTCATTTAAACCTAAATTTATTACTTTTATTATCTTTTTAAAATGTTCTTTGTATTATATCGGTCCTTTTTGATATTTTTTTATTTTAAACATTAAAAAACTAATAAAGCAACAACAATGAAGACAAAATCAAAACAACACAAAAACAACAAAAACGATACATGACTTCAAAACAAAATGGTAGGAATTAACAATGGTTGCTATATTACATACTGTTATCTTCAACGAAGTTGCTCAGTCCACCAGAGGTAAGACTGTAAGACTGATTAAACGATCAAGACAGTCACAAAAATACTTCAAAGAGTCAACAACTGGGATTTCATCTTACTGAAAACTTTCTGTACAT